GATCGCAGACCTCTCCCCTGCTTGGTGAGCGCACAAACCGCCTCTCCTATTGGTGAGAATGCAGACCACCTCCCTGATTGGTGAGAGTGCAGACCACCCCTCAATCTGTGGCAGTCCCTCCCTCCTGCTGTGGGCAGTTCTAAATTTTCTGAATTACTTTAAAAGGAAAGACTGTCTTCTGCCTTCCGCCCCACACCAGTATTTTATTTCACTATAGTCTATTATACAATATAAGCAAAGCCTCTAATACTATCTCTTGTTTACTGCCTTAAATATTAGCTTGCTGTGGATGTTATAATCAAAATAATTTTTTAAAAAGTAATAAAACAAGAGTAATCCTCTGAAATACTATGAAAGGGAATTTTTACACAAGAAAAGCAAAGTTTTCTCTTTTACTACCAAGAATACACTCATAGGCAATTAGCTTGGCCCTAAGAACTGGATCATGTAAACAGTTTTGTTTGTTTGTTTTTAATTACAAATTAAGGGTGACTCCATTAACCAAGGTGAAAGGATTTGATAACTGATCAAATCACATATCACAATGGTATAACACTGTGATATGTGATTTGATCAGTTATCAAATGGCTGGCTTTTACATTTTTCAGCATTATTATTTTTCCTTATGAATTCCTATTGAGCTTCTATATTTCTGGCATGAGAAAAATACTATGCTAATATTTACTAATAGTGTCTGGTATAAGATAACAGTTACTGAACAATTATAATATGCCAGGTGCCACTGTCAACCTTTTTCATGGATAAACTCATTCAATCTTCACAATTATCATTCATGTCATTCAGAAGGAGATGTGTAGAGAAGTTAAGTGATGATCCTGTGGTCACACAGGCAGAGGAGCAGAGCCCAGGGATAGACCCTTTCTCTTAACCACCTCACTGTGCTGCAACCATCCATGGCTTGTACATCCAGCAAGGGTATACTGAGCGTGTACTGGGTGAGGCACCAGGGCAAACAGGAAGATGAACTGGACGTGGTCCCTGACTCGGGGGAAAAGTGAGGACCTGATGACTGGGTTCCAAAGGAGAGAACCCAGAGATCAAGAAGCAGCTTGGCAGAAAGAAGGAAAGAAATGGAACGAGGATTAAAGAGAGGATGGATTACTTTAGGGTGTGGTTGATTCAAGCATGTTTTTCAGCTATGAGAAAAGATTGATGTCTTTGGAAAAAAGGAAAGTTGGGGGAGTGGAGAGAGGAGGGATCAGATCCCACAGGACGCTGGGGCACGTGGGGAGGGCAGGGCTGCAAAGGGCACTCACATCAGATGCTCTCGGCCTTTTCAGAAAGTGAAGGAGGGGAGTCTGTGCACATGAGAGTAGAAAAGCTTCAGGCAACTCTGACTGGCAGTGGGGCCATCGACCAGGCCTGGTAAACAGCAGTCCAAGCAGCTGAGATTAAAGAACAGCCACTTGTACAGGACCCAACACTCCCAAGAGTCAGAGATGAAACTGACTGCTTTAAATCAGAGAAACATGACTTCAAACAAAGCAGTATACACTTACTTCAGGATGGAATACATTTTTTATCTATCTCAGTTTAATTCTGCTAAGTACCTAAAGTTTATCTGATCTACACCCTTCTAAACACTGTTAGCCGGTAAATTCACACCAGATTCTTGAGTTAAAGCAAACAACATTCCACGTGCAGGGAAAGTAATAATCATTCCTTAAACAGCCCTGATTTTACAGCAGTTAATTTCATTGCGATTCTGAATTCTCTGCTGCTTTGCTTTACCCAAGAGCAGAATTTTTGAACAGCTGAATGTAAATCAAATTACGTTTGGCGTCTACTTTCTTCATTAACATTCCACATTCAAACACACGTACACATGCTCATTTTGCTTAGAAAAGTGCTTCCCAAGCTTTGCACGCTAGGGCAGCTTTGACGATGTCTGGACAGGTGTTTCACTGTCTAAACTGGTGGGCAGCTACTGGCACCTCTAGGGGGTAGAGGCTAGGGATGCTGGTGAAGAATTATTCAGCCCTGAAGGTCCATACTGTGAAAGCTGAGAGCTTCAACTGGTGTCAGCGCAATGAGAGGGGCCTCTGCTGCATATGGAGAAAACTATGAAGATTAATTAGTAGAAATAAAAGTAGTAAAATCAGTACTTTTAGAGAAATGTGTGCCAGTCAGAGAAATCTCATAGGAAAAAAGAAAACAGCACAGGGAAGCAGCCGGCAGAACTGGGGAATATTTTGTCATCTTACTGCAAAGTGAGATGAGCCAAGAACACGGAGGACAAAGGGAGCAGAGGGTCCCTCCGAGGTTGGATTATACGTTCTTAGTCTGTGTTGCCCTGGCCTTGTGGTGGTGGTATTGCAACAAGAAGCACCACAGCAATCCGTATCAGAGCTGCTGGTGGTACTGTGGTGCTCGCCTGGGGGGAAGGTCAGGGACAAAGCTGGCTGGGGTTTCAGTAGCTAACAAGTAAAACAAGTTCTGGAAGGGAAGAATTTGAGAGATCTCCCAAGGAGTAGATTAAACATGGCACTCTGGAATGTTCCTGGGGTATGGAGCTTCTCCTGCTGACTGGAGGCTGGAGCAGATGCTGAACCTTCTAGCAGCCTGTCCCATTGTCTAGGACTCCCCACCTGACGGGCTGCTCCCTGGAAGCAGCCTGAGCCAGGGGAGGGAGGAGGCCCATCCCCTGAGTAGCCTGCACGTTGGTTTGGAATAGAAACAGCTACCTTGGCCTACAACTTTGATCAACCTCTTCACCTAGGAGATTAGGTTGAACAAGAAAATGGTATCAACAACTGGGCCACCGACAGAGTGTAGGCTGGTGTTCCTGGGGACCACAGTAACACAACTCAACTTTTCACCCCGACATGGGCCCTCTGGGCAGGAATAGTGACCAGCAAAAACGTTACCAGTGCAGAATGATTATCTGAGAGTGAGCAGATTCAGTCGGTGTTTTGATGGCTGTTTCTCTTCTCTGGTTTTCAGGTCTATGAAATGGTTGGACACGGCAGTCCCGCCTTGCTAGCCGAAGTGTTTCTGCCTATTCCGGAGACCACCGTCATCACGGGGAGGGCTCCCTTTGAGGAAGTGGAGTTCAGCAGTAACCAGCATGTGACCCTGGACCATGAGGGAGTTGGAAGTGGTACGGAACATTACTGAGGGGCTCACACTGTCACTGCCAGATTTGAATTTGTCTTACCTATCTTTTTCTTTTACTTCCCAGACAACCAGATAATTATAACCTTGTTATCATAAATTCAAGTTAAGACAATTATGATTCACATTTTTTTGCCAAGTCATTTTTTTATACATTGCCGGTGCTTATAACTATGCAGCTATACAGTGCCCGGTTTGATGGTGTGAACTGGGGACCTTTAAAAGGCCCTTTGGTGGCTTTTGTTCCAAGTCTAGACATTTTTCCTAAGAATATAGTTTGAAATGAAGAGACAGCTTTCTGCATAAAAAAAGTATATCACAGTGTTATTTATAAGTCTGGAAAGTTTGAAATAAATTATAATAGGGAGATTTTTCATTAATATTCTCCCACCTATGATTTAAAATAGTGGATTTTCTCACTCTGTCTTCCATGTTTTTTTTTTTTTTCATTTTATTTCTAAATATTAAGGTGGTACAAATGTTTTTCTTACATGGAGAGCTTTCTAATGCTTTCGTCAGGGCTGTAAGTGTGCCCGTCACCCGACTACCGTTCATTGTACCTGTTAGGTAGGATTTCTACCCCTCACCTCCACCCCCTAACCCACTTCTTGATTTCAGATGGTTTTTACTTCTTTCTGCACCCATGTGTGCCAAGCAATTAGTTACAAATTATTAGGGAGTACACGTGGTGTTTGTTTTTCCGTTCTTGATATAACTTCATTTAGGATAACGGTCTCTGTTTCCATCCAAATTGCTCCAAAAAACATTATTCCTTTTTATAGCTAAGTAGCATTCCACGGTATGTATTATACACAACACATTTTGTTAATCCACTCGTGAATTGATGGGCACTTGCTTTGACTCCAATTCTTTGCCGTTGTAATTGTTCTGCAGTAAAGACCCATGTGCAGGTATCTTTGATACAATGATTGCTTCTCCTCTGGGTAGATACCCACTACTGGGATTGCTGGATCTAACAGTAGGTCACTCTTAGTTCTTGGAGACATCTCCATTCTGTTTTCTGCAGTAGTTGTATTGGTTTGCAGTCTCATCAGCACAGAATAAGTGTTTCTTTCTCTTTACATCGAAGCCAGCCAACATCTATTGTTTTCCACCTTTTTAATAAGACCATTCGAACAGGGGTAAAGTGATATCTCAGTGCAGTTTAATTTGCATTTCTCTGACAGTTAGTGACAGTGATGTTTGCTTCTTCTTTTTTTTTTTTTAGACAGAATCTCACTATGTGACCCTCGGTAGAGTGCTCTGGCATCAGCAGCCTCAAACTCTTGGGCTTAAGCGATTCTCTGATTCTCCTGCCTCAGCTTCCCAAGCAGGTGGGACTATAGGCCCTTGCCACAACACCCAGCTATTTTTTGGTTGTAGTTGTCATTGGTGTTTGGCAGGCCTGGGATGGATTCAAACCTGCCAGCTCAGGTATAATGTGGCCCACGTCCTAGCCGCTGAGTCACAGGCACCGAGCCTATCTATCTTCTTTTAAAAAGCTTCTGTTTATGTCTTTTGCCCACTTTTTAATGGAATTGATTGATTTTTTTTCTTGTTGATTTGAGTTCTCTGTCGATTCTGAATATTAGCCCCTTGTTGTATGGATAGTTTGTGGATACTTTCTCCCACTCTGTAGGCTGTCTGTATACTCTGTTGATCACTTCCATTGCTGTGCAGAAGCTTTTTAACTTAATCAAGTCCCATATATTTATTTTTGCTGTTGCTGCAATTGCCTTTGGAGTGTAGCCATAAATTCTTTGCCAAGACCAATGTCTATAAGAGCTGTTCCTGGCTCGGTGCCTATAGCTCAAGCAGCTAAGGCACCAGCCACATACATCAGAGCTGACGGGTTCAAATCCAGCCTGGACCTGCCAAACAACAATGACAACTACAACCAAAAAATCACTGCACACTGTGGCAGGTGCTTGTAGTCTCAGCTACTTGGGAGGCAGAGGCAAGAAAATCACTTAAGCCCAAGAGTTGGAGGTTGTTGTGAGCTGTGATGCCACAGCACTCTATCCAGGGTGACAGCTTGAGGCTCTGTCTCAAAAAAAAGAGCTGTTCCTACATTTGTTTCATGCCTTACATTAAAGTTTTTATCTATCTCGAAATAATTTTTGTATATACCAAAAGACAAGGGTCCTGTTTCATGCTTCTGCTGTGGCTATCCGATTTTCCCAGCACCGTGTATTAAAAAGGGCTTCTTCTCCCCAGCGTATGTTCTTTACCCACCCCATCTAAAAGTTCATCTCCTTCTCACCCCACAAAGCACAAATTTTCTATGCTTTCTCCTACTTTTTCTTCTTAGCACTCATCACTCTCTAACACACTAAGTATTTCTTTTACTGTGTGTGAAAACACCACACTGTACCCCGGAAGTGCATTAATGTACATAGTTACCATTCAATAAAAAAGGGGAAAAAAAGTATTTCTCTTATTTTTTCTATTATCTCTCTCCCTTACTCAAATATAAACTCCATTAGAGTAGGGATTCTTTACTTACAGTAGAACCTCCATAGTTGACCACCACCCTACATTGACGCCATCCTTAAGCTGACCTAATTTTCATAGACTGACATGCGCCACATGTACATATAAGTACAGCAGGCCTAATGCCTTATGTTGACCACCTCTGCATACCGATCAGTTTGTTACAATCCCCTCTGGGTGGTCAACTTACAGAGTTGTTTTTTGAGAATAGGGATTCTTAACAATTTCATTTCTTTACTGTTATCTTCAGTGTCTGAAGTAGTTCCTGGCATGAAGTGGAAACTCAAGTATCCTGAATGAATCAATAAACAACTGTCTCCAGAATAATTCTATGAAGGATGGGCTCTTACTATCCCTAATTTATGCATGAAAACTAAGGCTCAGAGACGTTAAGTCATTTCTCCAAGGTCACACAGCTGCAAAGTGGCAGAGCCACAATATGCACGCAGGTGGACCCGCTTCAGAGTGCATCACGGTGTCAGACACTTTGCTGTCAGACACAGAGCTGAGTGCTGACTCTCAGCATCGTCATCTGGAGAAATCCAGTGACACTGGCTTGAATTCTGCGTTCCGTCCCCACCACTCCACCCACCCCAAGTTCTTTTGTCTACTATCTGCTTTCTTGCCGGCCTGGGCTCAGTCCCTCTTTCTGAACAGCATCCTGTTTAATCTGATGTTCCTCCAGGAGTGCCCTTCTCATTTGAAGCTGATGGCAGCAACCAACTAACTTTGATGACCTCAGGGAAAGTGTCTCACAGTGTGGCATGGGCTGTTGGAGAAAATGGGATACCTTTAATTCCTCCACTGTCGCAGCAGAACATTGGATTTCGGAGGTAATATGCGGCCAGAGCAGACTGATGAGCAATGTCAGTGTTAGCGTTAAAAATATCCAAGGGAGGGGTGGTGCCTGTGGCTCAGTGGCACTGGCCCCATATACCAAGGGTGGTGGGTTCAAACCCAGCTCTGGCCAAACTGCAACAGAAAATAGCTGCGCATTGTGGCAGGCGCCTATAGTCCCAGCTACTCGAGAGGCTGAGGCAAGAGAATCGCCTAAGTCCAAGAGCTGGAGGTTGCTGTGAGCTATGACGCCATAGCACTCTAGTGAGGGTGACAAAGTGAGACTCTGTCTCTTAAAAAAAAAAAAAAAAATATATATATATGTGTGTGTGTGTATATATATATATATATATATCTCCGAGGGCTAGAAAGCCTGCAATGTTGTATTCTCTGATGTTTTCAAGGGCTTTGTATTGTTCTTAAGGTAAAAATTAAAACATGTATTAATAGCCTAACCTATATTGAGTATTGCTCAGGGCCAGGTTTAGCACAATGACTCTGTGAGACACTCTCCCCAGTTTCACAGATGGGGAGCTGCACAGCGTTCTTGCTGTATACGTTTGGCGCTCAGTAAGGTTCGTTGCTAACGATGAGTGGTGTAGAACCTTCTACACATGAGAGTCCCTGTTCTCCTGCCTCCTCCTCGACTGTGAGATCCTTAGGGCTCAGCTCAGAACAAAGCACTCGGGCCTCAGTTTAGCCCAGGCCAGCCCCTCCCCTGCATGCACCAGGCTGAGGTGCAGGACTAGCTTGTATTCGCAATCCTTCAATCCGTCTTTCCTGATAGCAATTGTCAAGTAAAGAAAAGTGGCAAAAGTCCTCTTTAAGATTGTCCCTCCTGGAGGATCCTGACTTCCTTAAGTGATGCTGTCCCTGGGATTTTGTGGCCCTGCTGCAAACTCCGTGGTCGTCAGACTCACGGAGTCAACTGTGTTTCTTTCAGCGCTCTGAAGAAAGCAGATGCCATCTCGTCAATCGGCACATCGGGACTGACAGACATGAAAAAGTTGGCCAAGTGGGCAGCAGAGTCCAGGCTTGACCCGAATGACCCCAACAACGGCCCTTTGATGCAGCTGATCTCGGTAATGTGTGGCACGAGGCACTCACAGCGCTGCCCGACTTGGCGGGGGATAATGGAAACAGCTCAGCCCTTTACACACATTTTCTTTTACGCTGCGTTCTCCTAGACGGCACTGGTTATGAACATGAGTGCTGGGTAGAATGGCAGCTTACCATTGCCGAGGCAAGCGCCCAATGCACTTAAGCCTTGTGCCACCCTCCTGGTCTGCTGCTGAAGCAATGAGATACTCCAATTAACACCCAGCCAGACACGGGCCACACACAGGAATTATTAGCTGCCATTATTGTTGTTGCTACTTGTACTGCAAACCAAGGTTTGATTCCCCATCTGCAGAGAGGAAGCTGAGTTCAGAGCTGCGTTACTTGCTCTAGGGCACACAACGCATTGAGTTGGTCTGGGTTCAGCACACTTTCTCTTTTTGTCACCCTTCAAATACTAATGGGGCATTTTAAGAAATCCTTGTTTTGTTTGTGTTTTTGTTGATGATTATTTATCATCTAGGTTTTGCATAAGTACTTATCAGACACATTGCCTGTGTCTACCATTACGTTCAGCATTCTTTCCTCAGTGAATTTGTAAATAAAATGGAACATTAGTTAGCACATTATTTTTTCCTTGGTGTGATGATACCAGTTGGTTTCATTTTCAACTTCATAATTCTCACTAAAACATAACAAGCAAGCAGAGGATCCAGAGGCTGGCCACGACCACACATTCTTATGTTGGTGGTTATCAGTGTGAGTTTATCAGTAAGATAATTAGAAGCAGTATGAAAATTTTCATTTCACTTCTGGTCTTTCTAAGTCTGAAAACAAGCTTTCATTTATTCTGATTTTTGTCTTTATCAATCCTCCTTCCAACATATGCTTCCTTTTTCATCTTTTGGGGAGGTTTTAAGACAGAGTTTCTCTCTGTTGCCCAGGCTAGAGTGCAGTGGCCTCAGTCCAGCTCACGGCAAACTCAGACTCTTGGCTTCAAGCAATCTTCCTGCCTCAGCTTCCTGAGTAACTGGGACTACAGGCATGTGCCACCATGCCTGGCTAATTTTTCTCTTTATTTTATTTTATTTTTTAGTAGAGATGGGGTCTTTGTCTTGCTCTTGCTCAGGCTGGTCTCCAACTCGTGATCTCAAGCTATCCATCTGCCTTGGCCTCCCAAAATGCTAGGATTATAGGCCAGTGTGAACCACCAGGCCCAGTGTCCCAACATGATTCTTCTTAATGTGGATAACAGAAATATTAGGAAGAACAGGCCATACCACCTAAAGCAGTGGTTCTCAACCTTCCTATGCTGCAATGTATTTTTGTTGTTAAAAAGGAGTCTTGACCCACAGGTTGAGAACCACTGGCCTAAAGTGTGTGGTCTAGTCTTGCGGTCCCCAGCCCCGGGGCTATGACTGGTACTGGCCCATGGCCTGTTAGGAACCAGGCTGTATAGCAGCAGGTGAGCAGCAGGTGAGCAGCAGGTGAGCAAGTGAAGGTTCCTCTGTACTGACAGCCTCTCCCCATCACTCACCTCAACACCTGAGCTTCTGTTAAACTCAGCACCAGGTTCCTTTGGATGAGATTTGCCTGGAGTTTTGTATTTTCTTTTTTTTTACAGGTTGCTACCAGTGGTGAATCCTACGTCCCTGACTTCTTTCGACTGGAACAGCTGCAGCAGGAATTTAACTTTGTTTCGGATGAAGAATTGAATAGATCCAAACGGTTCAGGCTTCTTTGTCTTAGAAGCCAACAGGTGCCAGAATTCCGAAATTATAAGCAAGTTCCAGTGTATGACCGAGAAATTTTGGAAAAGGTATTCCAGGTAAGAAACTGCCTCGGAGGGGTTAATAAAATAGTAAAATATTTGCTATGCCATCAGTTATATTTTTATATGTGTATTCGCTGTTGCTATGTTCTCAGCAGCAAGATCGGTTTCTCTTCTGTAGCACTTTCTGCGTGTGGGAGACGAGGGCTTGATGTGTTGCCCAGGCTGGTCTCAAACTCCGGGGATCAGATGATCCTCCCACCTCAGCCTCCTGGGTTGCTGAGATGACAGACAAGCACTATTGTGTGCAACTGGCATGTTTATGTATGACCTTTCCATTATTTCTTCCTTTTTTAAAAAATTAAGTCATATACACATAGATCATGAATACATTTATGCATATGTGGGGTACAGTGTGTTGATTTTTTTATACAATCTGATGTGGTTACATCAAACCAATCAACAGAGCTTTCGTCTCATTTACTTGATTATTGTGTTAAGACAATTATGTTCTGCATTTGACAAATTTGACTTGTACCCTTGCAATATGCTCCATAGGTGTGGTCCCGCCTTTTACCCTCCATCAAACCTCCCCCCTCCCCTCCCTGCCCACTCCATTTCTCTCCTTCATCCTGGACTATAGTTGTGTTCTATCTTTCATAAGAAAGTGTGAGTAAATATAAGTTGGTTTCATGGAAGTACTGAGTACATTGGATACTTTTTCCTCCATTCTTGAGACATTTTATTCAGGATAATATGTTCCAGGTCCCTCCATGTAAACATAAAAGAGGTAAAGTCTCCATCTGTTTTAAGGCTGCATAGTATTCCATGGTGTACACATACCACAATTTATTAATCCATTCATGGGCCAGTGGGCACTTGGGCTTCTTCCATGACTTGGCTATTACAAATTGAGCTGCAATGAATAATCTGGTGCAAAGATATTTTTTGCAAAGTGATTTTTGGCCTTTTGGATATACTCCTAGTAGAGGAATTGCAGGATCCAATGGCAGGTCAATTTTTAGATCCCTGAGTGTTCTCCAAACTTCTTAAATTCAACTTTTAAATAATCTCTTTGCCACAGCATAATAACATGTAAACTACCAATTACCAGGATTCTGAGTCAGTTGGTTAAACCACCTACAATTAGAATTGCAGGGTTGAAATGAAAATATCCTAAGGGTTAATATGGCCAATTAGTCCTACTTTGGTCAGCAATTCAATCCCATTTTTATGCAGTAAATATTTGCTAAGCACCATGTAGATGGTGGTCAAATGCTCAGGGGAAACTGGAGAGATAGGATTTGAACAGCCTTGAGGTGGGTAGGGAGGAAGGAAGTGAAGGAACCAGGCTGGGCAGCCATCCTCGTCCAGGGCAGCAGCAGGGACAAGGACTCAAGAGAAGGGCAGCTGGATTGGGCAGGTGTGAGGTGGAAGAGCCTTTGCGGAGACGGGTGGAGATGGGGCAGGCCTGGGGGAGCCAGACAGACCAGCCTGTGTCGTTGAGGTATGGAGAGCCATCAGAAATGAGCATGCGTGCCACTCGGATTTTTCATGCAGACACTACCCGTGTTAGCTTGGATTTGTGATCACAGGGATTAAAACCCAATTTGGAACTACTTCAGGCTCCAAGAGGAGTTTACTGGATGATGAAATCTCCAAATAGGGTTAAATATCTCAGAACCTGTGGACGGCAGCAGTGCCCCTGTGCTCCCCGTGCTGCTGGGCCTTTGTCCGTGTGGTGGCTTCACTCTCCTCCTTTGCAGATGTGGCCACATGGTCCCAGCATCATCCAGGGTCATACTGAGTAGCTTCAGCCAGCAGGGTTGTCTCAAACTCAGAAATCTTGGGAGAAAGCTCTTGTCACCACACCTGGGTTAGGTGCCACTGCAGGACACTCAGCTGTAACCAGAGAGTGGCATAAAGGGGAACCGGGCAGCTCCCTGGCCACACATGTAGTTTTATTGACAGAGGAAGGGTGAGGCCAGAGACAACAAAGCCAAGACTACCTTCCCCTCCTCCAAGTGGGTGGCAGGTCAGCTGCAGCCGGATGTTGCGTGATCATGCTAATGTTGCAACTGGAGCTTCATGATTTTTGTAATTGCTTTACTTAAAATAGAAAAGGCAAAACTTAAGCAGGGGTTTGGCTAAGTTGTCTGGATGAGTTTAGCTTTCTTTTTTAAGAGAGTCTCAGCCTAGAGTGCCATGGCATCAGCCTCACTCACTGCAACCTCTAACTCTAGGTTCAAGTGATTCTCATGTCTCAGCCTCTCATGTAGTTGGACTACAGGCTCATAATGCCCAGCTAGTTTTCCTGTTTTCACTAGAGATGGGGTCTCACTCTTAACATAGGTTGGCCTTGAACTACTGAGCTCAAGGGATCCTCCTACCTTGGCATCCCAGAGTTCTCAGATTACAGGTGTGAGCCACTGTGCCTGGCTTCGGAATTTAGTTTCTTATACTACAACTTATTTCCTCCTCCATGGACATTTTCACTTGTAACTACTGTGCAGAATTCTCTTCTGTTACTAAGGCAGCTCAGTTGATTGACTGATACTACTGCACCAAAAATCAATTCGGAATCAAAAGTTAGGAAGAAGGTGGCAGAAAGGTTTAGAACCACAGTTAAAAATTTAAGTCACAAGTGATAATTATCTAATCTTAAGACAAGCATAAAATTATTAACTCCTCTTAATTTTAGGACTATGAGAAACGGTTACGAGACAGAAATATAATTGAAACCAAGGAGCACACGGACACCCACAGGGCCATCGTGGCCAAATACCTCCAGCAGGTAAGAAAACTCATTTAAAACTGTCGTCTCAGAAAGAAACGAGGCCACGTGGTAAGGGGGGCAGTTTTCTACCTGGTGAGTATTCCTGTGAGTTTAGGTGAGTCACTTATGCTTTCTAGACTCAACTTTCTCATAAATGCGAGTGCATAATTGACAACTACCTTCACCTTTTTACATGAAACCACTGAGATATATCCAAGTTTATTATCAAGGGTTATCTTAAATGAGGTATAATTACAAGCAACTCAATTTCTCAGTCACGTTTTTTCCTAACATTTGAATGTTTCCATTTGAATTTTATATTATATTGCAATATTTACCTTTGTAATCAGAAAAAAACACTGAAGTCTGCCCTTTTTCCTTCTTTTCTTCTTTTATTTCCCTCCTTCCTTATGTCAATGAACTTAATCTTGTAAGAAATGGGATAGTGACTATAATGCATTTTTTTCCCCATCCAGTTTATCTATCTTCTGGCAGACATATAAAAAAATGTGATTTGTGACATGTAAGAGGCCCTCTATTTAAATTAGAAAGTGAATCATTCTGAAGAGGGGAAGGCCTTAAGCATTAGTTCTTAATTGTGTGTATTTTGACACTGGTCCTATTTTTTGCAACTGCTAATTTATTAATTCAGCAAAATCTTACTACTTTATGTGCCAGGAACTTTTCCAGATCCAACAACAAGAACAACTGGAGCCTTTAGGGAGATGTTGGTAAAAAAAGGAAAAAAAAATTGATAGCAAAAGAAGACCAGAGCTTTAAAGAAAAGTAAAGTTGACATTAGGGCAAAGATATGGGCATGGACTATGAAGGTTAAATAATAACATTATTTTAAATAAAGCTGATTTCTTTCCCCAGGTTAGAGAATCAGTGATAAACCGTTTCTTAATTGCAAAACAACATTTCCTTCTTGCTGATTTGATAGTGGAAGAAGAAGTTCCCAATATCAGGTAAAAATAATCCAGTGGAGCCCTTATTATCATTTCTTATTAGGAAAATGTCATTTGTTCTAGTAGATGAAAAGCATCATGTACGATTTTTTTTATTGCATGATGCGTCTGGGCCCAGAACGTGCTGGAAACCTGCTAAATCTGCTGATGGCACTAGTAAAGGGATTTCCTTAGGACACGTCACCCTAGAGCCTCTCCTAGCTCCTGCCACCCCCCCTACTGCCACGCAGCTTCACCAGCCTTTGCCCTCGTCCCACCCCAGGTGGAACTAACTAAGCCTGGAGCATCCCCCTCCCCTGCTTTCCTGGCCTTCTGGTGCCAGACTTGCCCAGACCCTCCTGTCACCTGGCAGTGGAGCTGGCTGGGAGGAGGGAAGAGGAACTGGTTCCAGCACTGCTGCTGGGGGGCAGAGAGCTGGTCTGTGCATGTGAGGAGGTGAAGGGCCACAGGGAAATGTGGGTATTTACATGGAAGCTGGAAATCGACTCTATTATTTGGAATAATCCTCATTGGCTTCAACTAGGGATAGATGCATAGAAGGTGAAAGGCAGCTTCCTATTTGGTCCTATGTGGTCCGTTAAGTTCATGAGCTCTTTGTGTGATGAAGTCTCTGGGTCTCCTGAAAAGGCTTTTTCTATGCACGTGCTATCTCTCCACCATCAAGGTGAAAAGGAGACCAAAAGCTGTGCCCCCCACGGCGGCCCCTTCCTCTGGCTTCCCCTCCCTCAGCATGTAGAGGGAGGGGGGCGGCACACACACAAATCCCTGCAGAGCCAGCTCCACCCCAGGCCCAGCGTCCTGTCATTGAATATTCTCACAGTCATGAAAATGACTCTTAGATGATGGTTTTTCATGCTGTTTTTTCTTTTCTTTTCCTTTTTTTTGTTTTTCTGCTTTACTTTCTGCATTAAGTTCTGAAGGCTCGGGGTATGTTCTTTCTTCTTTTAATTTCCGTTTGTTCTTGGCTTTAAACTAAGATGTTCCTGTGCTTAATGGTCCCAGTGGACAGGGGGCTCCCTCAGCGACTGTTGTGGAGGCCTCCGAGTCTCACAGGGGGTGTTACCTCCAGGGCAGGGAGGAAGAAGCTTTGTCACTTTAGGACTCCTGGCAACGTTTGGGAGGCCCTCAACTTTGGGATAGGTGGGTGTCCTGACAGAGTGATTAAAAACATGGGTTCTGTAGTCAGAGTGACCCGAGGGTTAACCTGAGCTCCCCTCCTCCTATAACGAGCTTTCTGCAAACCATTACACCTCTGTGAGCTTCCAGTTTCTTTATCTGAGAAATGGGGCAAGTGTTATATTTGTAAAGATTAGAAATATATAGAAAGTACCCAGCTCACACTCTTCTTCACACATGGAGGGTGCCCATTAATGACAGCTATTCTGGACAAGACCCTGGAGAACAGACAGAACAGTAGCTCCTGGAAACGCCGTGGGATTCTCATTGGAGCCATCAGGGCACCTGGATGAGGGCTGCACAGCCTCCTCGCAGCTGTAGGCGCCTCTTGCAAAGAGCTGCTCCAGGCAAGAAGCCGCAGCCAGCTCTGATGCTCTACAGGGCAGCAGAGAGCCACAAGCATCACAGCCCGTGGCCGGCTCTACAGGGAAGCAGAGAGCCACAAGCACCACAGCCCATGGCTGCTCTACAGAAAAGCAGAGAGCCACAAGCACACAGCCCGTGGCTGCTCTACAG